TTCCCCTTAGATGTAAATACTTTTATTTCAAAGAAAAAAGTAAAAGAAAGAGCTCCAACCCTTATTATTCCACTCGCAAAGGCTAGTATCATAACTTTGAGAACCTTAGTTGTCCTCAACCCTTGCTATCCAATTCATATTTTGCAATAATCACCTCTTTAACAAGCCATTGCTACAAAATATGAATTTCCATAGTCATTTAGCAAATAAAGCCTCGTTCATGGTAGTCAAAGATTTTATGCCAAGGCCCCCCAAAGCAAAAGGTCCTTTCACCACATGGTAAGCAAGAAGATGATAACGCCTCATCACATCAAAGACTCTTTGAAGGAATTGGCATTGCAATGACTCCAACCCCTTGGAACACTAACAAAGATAGATAATAGATGGGACAACTTAGAAAAGCTACTTTTAACAAAAGTGAGCATTCCTCATTTAAAAAGGTAGATCTTTCTTATTTCAAAAAAAAAAAGGTAGATATTCCAACTAGAAGATCTCTTTCCATCTTGGCCACAAAAGGATCACAAATAATATCCTTAATCTTTAGCACCAGTAATAGGTCAAGATACTTAAGAAGACAGACAATATAACATCCATCCTATCACCTGCATCAAAAGAGACTAATTTTGATTCATCTAAGTTGACTTGAAGGCTCGAAACAGCTTCAAAGCAAGTGAGAATGCATCTATTGGTCATTAAGATTAAGTAACATACCAGCAAAATAATAGATAACCTACACCAAAAAAAGTAAGAATGCATCTCATGTTCATCAAGCATTCAATACCAGGCCTGTAAAATAGTGGAGTATTGTAGAAAAACTAAAGTGAGTGAACTCCTTCATTTGAGTCCCCTGAACCAACATGTAACCTTTCAATGCCTTGGCTTGAATACATAACCTATGAAAAGCTTCCATGACGAGTAAGAAGAGAAAAAGAGGCAAGAGATACTCTAGCCTAAGGCTTGTACATTAGTGGAAGAAGTAATAAGGACCCTCATTCATGATGAAAAAAAGTGACGGGGTAGAAATACATCTTTCATTCCACTTGCACCACTTAAGATCAAACCCTATTCCCCTCATCAAGTATAGTAGGTAACATCAGGAAAAATGGTCATAAGTCTTTTCAATGTCCAACTTCCACATAAATCCTCTTAAAGGCACACCCAATAACCTCCCTACAAGTCCACAAACCTCTAACAAAGTTAATACTCATATCACCAATCTTTGCCTCTTAAAGGCACACCAGCTCCCATTTCCACACTTTCAACAAGCCTCTAATCATTGTTCTCTTAATTTTGTCGTTAAGACCCTTTGCAATCCAAGAAAGAATGCAAGTAATCATCGACAATAGTAAGCAATAAAAGATTGTCCTCCTTCAGTAGTCTAAGCAACAACAACCCTCGTATCATAATTGGGAGAAAATTCTAGTCTTCTCAGCTTCCTCATTTGAGTATTCCTTCCCTTACATGAGTAATTTTCTAGGGTATCACTTAAAAAATCCTCTATTTTCTCGTAGCCTTAATGGCTCTAGAGAGTTCAACAAACGCCCTTCTCTTTGAACCCATTAAACTCCACTCAACCTTTTTATCCATCTTCAAACCTCACCTAATCCAATAATTCCCCTCTGTCAAACTCCATCAACACCTCAACCACGAACAATATGACTTAATAAAAAGCAGGAAGATAGTCGACCTTAACAACCTGAAATGGACATGGTTACTCATTCATACTAACACAATTCATCCAATCAGCATGTCATCGAAAGAAGGCTCATGGACACAGAATCAACATCACCCCTCCAAGCCCAATCCATGAAGAAACAATCAAAGAAGAATCACCACACGTTGCTGGCATAACAACTACTATACATCATCACCATACTCGACCAAGAAAGAATAAGAAGAGGAGACTAATCATATGCATCTGTGCCAATACCTAGTGAGATTGATTGCATGGGGTTCAAAAATCACATGGTAAGCAAACAAACGACTTGGTTCCCCTTCACTATAGCAACCTCTTTGTAAGAAACCTCTCACCCCGAGTAGACAACAAAGTCCCATAAGACAATAGAGACCAACATCAGTTTCTTTAAAACACATGCCCCCAATGACCTGAGCTTAAAGAAAGAGACCTTGTGATAGGCTTTAGAAGCAGGTCACTTGCCCTTCTCAATGAAAGCTTTCAACATGGGCATAAGAACACTCACTAGCCCGACCTATATTTAACCCTAAAGCAACACACTTAAGGTTACCTTTTCCTACTTGAATTTCAAAATTCTCTAATTGTTCAACAGGAAGAGTTTAAGAAACCATCAAGTGAAAGTAGCAATTCCTACCTTTGACTACTTCACAGACAAGCTAACCACCAATTTCGCTTGCAACACAAGCAAAAGGCAAGGACCCAACACCTTCCACACCACCAAGGGAGTAGCGGGCCACTAGGAGCTCTAAGCCAACCTATCCTTCAAATCTGCAACAGCTATCTCTACCTGACATCCTATGTGGCTAGAATTCTTCCTAATCTTCTAACGATAAAAGGTCTGCAAAAACATCCAGTTTCATTTTGCTAGATTCACGCGACAAACTAGATTGACCGCTACAAGACCTACACCACCCATTTGCTTCGGTTCCTTCAAAGTTAACAGCCTCCTGTAGCCCCCTAGTTTTATCTCCTAAGTTCTAGGAACATATTAAATGAAAAATGAACTAAACACAAAAATAGTTCTCAATGCACCATCCATCTTAAATCAAGAGACTTACATAATATGTAATCAAACACCTCAAAGTAATTCAAACTTATGATGGAATCACTTTTATTTCCCAAAAAAATTCAAACTTATGATGGAACAAAAATCTAAGCCAACAACAAAAGCTGTAGAGCAAAAGAAAACATCAAATGCAGGTAGCTCCAGTACTCACTGTTGAAAGCTCAGTAGAGTATTGTTCCTCTGTAGCTGCAGCAGCATTTTTACAAGAGCACAATTCCTAAACAAGTGATAAAAAGCCATCAATGAACCAATTGATAGTAAATGATATGCAAGACGAATTATAAACCAACAAATATTGCACCTCTTGTAAAGACATCAGCTTTGTCTCGAGTTCTCTCAATCTCTCCTTATGCCAATTTAGAGAGTTAGAGGACTCATTAAACTTTTTCTCAACCTGGAGGAAATTGTTTAGCACAACGTACAGAATAAAAAAAAAAAGTTAATTTGAAAAGAAAAATTAAAGACTTGGAAACTCAAAAGAACTCTTGAGAATGGGGAAAAATAGTATCTCACTTCTGTGAGCTTTGCTGACATATCAGCCTCAAGATCAGTATGCGTTCTTCGCAGCTCAATAAGATTATCAACCTTAGCAGTCAACTCTTCATTAAGCCAAGCATTATGCTTCTCAAGCAGCTCTTTCTCCTAGTATCTCATCAGGATTTGACAAATTATTAAGTGTTGCCCCAAATAGATCCAAGCTCAAAAGAATACAAAAAGAAAATAAACATAAAGCATATTTGAAGCTAGAGCCAGAAAGTTCGTCATCATTAAAGGACTCAAGAACAGAAAGATGGGAGGGACACTCCAGGTTAACAGTTTTGCAAAGCTCCAACCTTCAAAAGCAAAACATTTTCTCAATTAAAAATGAACCAGCACTAACAGAAGGCAAGAAGTATAAAAAATGGAACACCTCTAAACCTGATAGTTTTTTTTTTCGAAATAAACCTCTAAACCTGATAGTAAATCCCCTAACTCCATACTGCTCTACTCCGTGTCAGGGCACTAATGTAATTCAGTCCAATCACAGTGGTTAAAGATGTCCGAGTCTTGCCGATGAATCAACAATTTCAACAAAGTCATACTTAAATATACAGAAAGCTTTTATCCTTTCAAAATTACCAACTTGAGTTTTATCAAAAGAAATTAGGACTAATGCCATTAAAATAGCAACATCACATACAAAAAGTGGTTAGTAGAAAATTGTACCATTTTCTCATACTAAAACCAAAAGAAAATGATAAGAAAATAAAAGATTTCTAAAACAAAAGAATGAGGAGAACTATTCTTTTTTCCAAGAGAAAGCAAATAGCAAGACAA